GGGAGGTTTAACCCGTTAGGGGGGCTGATGGAGTCCTACCTGCCACACACTGACACGGAGAAACAAAAACTCCAGGGTCTGCACCTCGGAATCATGAAACGACGGCACCCGTGGTGCTGGGGATGCAGCAGAGGGGGCCATCKCAGGGATGTTCCCCACTGCTGTTGAGTGGCTTTATTTTAGTACCAGGAGGACATTACCACCTTCCTTCATCACCTCGCCTTGTTTTGCTTTTATCCCCTCACTCTTTTCTCTCAAAGAGCAGTTCTTGAGAAKCAGAAAGTGCCAGCTCCTTCTGAATGTTTAACAAACTGAATTACAAGTGTTACCAAAAMAAAAGTAGAATCACACCTCTGAAGATAATTTAAACCTAAATCATAAAACTCCACTATACAAGTAATGCTTAAACGTAGTTCTTCCACAAGCAAAAGCTATGTAAAAAGAGCTTGCTGCATCACAGACTACAAGGCCTGTAGTCTCCTACACTTATCCCGAGTACTTCAACTAAAGAACCTTACACAAAACAGCAGAAGTTATTTCCAAGATTTTCATAATACGTTGCCACTGGCAGCTGAGAATCAATCCTGCATCACTAATCCTGGAGAAGCACAGCTCTGAAAGTAGTTTTTAATTCAGCCTTTCCCTACAATAAAATTCCTAGGATCCACTTTTAAAAGTTGCGTCTGATTTTTATTTTTTTCCTCTCTCCTGTGTGCAGCATTTGSTATGTCAGGCATTCTAGGACCTTTCACAAGGTACATCTGAGTTTTATGCAGTAATTACCTAAAAACAACAGTTTGATTAATATTTGAAATATGTTTCATACTAGGGTTCAGTGACAAATGCAAWCAGCTTTTAATAATTAGGAAATTTTAATTTCAGGCACTCAATTCTGTGGCAAAACTASAGCAATTCCTGATTCATTGATAAACATGGAATACACATCCACACAAAGTTTTCAAGGCAGTTTCAAAATGCATGTACTTGCTAGAATAAAAGAATATTTTGCAAAATTCCATTTTATAWGTTGTCTTTAAAGCAAAGACAATCTTCTACAAACCATTAATTTCACATGAACTACATTCCAATGGTAGTTTATAGGATGTAACACAAYGTGCAAATAATTTTTCACATCTTCATACTGGATTTTACAAATCTAATTATTTTGAAATTGTTCTTTGCAATATTTAAAAGGTAATTTTAYCAAATGTTAAGATGTCAAGTGTGTGCACCAATGAACATTCATACTTTTCCACTAAATGTTATTCACATAATTTTAAAAGGGGTTTCATGTTTATGACCACTGTAGTCTCAGTCAAGAATAATCATTTATGAGTTTGTCAAGGAATAGAGCATTCAAAACGTCACACTTGCTATAAAATATGAAATTTTAAGAACATTCAGTGATAGGCAAAGGACTAAGCATTCCGCTTTTGCTGTTGAAAACATTTATTCAATTACTATGGTAATGGATTTAATGTCAGTCTTCTATTTATGCATAGATAAAGAAAATTCAAGTAGTTCTCTTCCTGGTGTGACTACATATATCACGAGAAAAGAACACAGGGAAAGGAAAAGGAAACAGTCTACACAAAATATTCTTTCCTTAAAAAAGTAAATTCCACTCCCAAGTAGAAAACAGGGCTCACTTAAAACACAGCTGCTTTAACTTGAGAACACTGTATAAAGTTGATTAATGACTCTTTCATCCTTAAAAACACAAGGAGCAAAACAGTTATTCCCTTCCGGATCGCCAGTTCTTAAAGCAAGGCTTCTCAAGAGATGGGTCTTCTAGAATTGTAAACTTTGACACCATTCAGCGTGGAGGAACGGGCATACTTGGTCAGAAGTGTACCAACGGTCTGCTTCTCTGCACATAAGTCTCTATATAGGAAATAAAAGCAGGTTAAACTGGTGTTAAAGACATTCTCCCACACACTGAGCCAGTAAAATAATGGTAAACACAGCAGAAAGCTGACTGGGGTCTCATAAGAACAAAATAGTAACTGTCATAAAATGCTCTGTATTGCCCAAAATTGTCATTTTGCCTTGACTTGGTGTGTTTCAGCAACAGGCAAAACCATACTATCTATTTCAGAAACAAGTGAGGTTTTTTTGTTTGGTTGGTATTTTACTCTTTGAAAGGTTTGCAATTGAGTAAAACACTCAGGCTTTCAAGTATTTAATTATATTACATTAAATTCTGAAACCCTCCTCATGGATTGATGCAGTTTTTTTCTGAGTTCTTATCTACGTAGCCTGGCTAGATATCTCAGATAGCATTGCAATCTAAGTGTTAACTACCCCAAAGAACAAAGGTTCCAGCACGGAAAGCATTATTGCCCTATAGTTCTTGATTAATACATATGGAGACAGATTAGAAATTTGGAGGGGTTTATCCCTTAAAGTAGTATAGTTACATTTCCAGCTCAATCAAAGGAGACAGACTTGAAATCCTCTTTCAGTTTGGTGGGACATACTTTTCACCAAAGTTCAAATATAACTTGKTTTTTTTTTTTGAGGGGAGGGGGGTGCTAAAGATATTCATAAAGAATTTGTAGTAATTTAAGACAAACCATAGTAATTAAGGCAATCATAGCTGATAAAAAGTCAAGCAAAAAAGGCACAATGCAAACACTAAATATGTATTAGTTCTTTATGTTTCACTGTGTTATTTATTTTTTAAATAGTCTTTATTCAAATATATCCTTACTGTATATAAGGAGYAATATCCTCTTCTGTCCATTTTTGTCGGATGCTAAACAAGCTGTTGAACCTTTCCTGATTATCTTCAGGTAAGTCTTCTACTTTCAGCAGACAGATGGTCTCTGGTCTGGAGCTTTTATCCACAAGAGCCAAACCCTATTAGACCAGAAGCAGAGAAACTGTTAAACAATTATTAATTATAATATGTAATTAAGAAATAAAAAATAACTATTATTAATAAAGACAAATTTTCTTTTCGCAGTAATCCATACAAAATGCCCTTTTTATCTCCACAGTCTTATGAACTTGCAATAGCAGAGGCACAGAAGGGAAAAAATAATGTGCTGTTACATATGCAGTATTTGTCATTCAGAGAATCACAAGGAGGAAGGGGAACTCATTAAGTTATGACAAAGCTGACTCCTTCCAGGAACCGATTTTTTGCAATCTTTGCAACACGGCTGTTTGTCTTTACAATCTGTTACACTGTAGTTTCAGCTTCTGTGTTGTGTTTACAAGTATTAACTCTACAATTGCTACTTTCCTTCAAACAGTGAGATATATCAGATTCAGAGAAACCCGAACTGTCATGATTTCACACTTTCTATTATTATAAAGAAGCCATAAAAAAAGTGTTTTAGCTCAGAAGCAGTCACAAAACCACTGACCTCTTATGTCTCCATAGCACACAGGTCAGTTAACAGTTTAACTGGAAAGAATCCATATTTCTTTATGTTTTTTACCTTGAGTTGATCAAGCCTTGTAGTCAGCCCTTCAGGGACACTTTGTTGCCAGACTTCTTGAAAATCTGCTAGATTGAATTTAACTGCATTTTGTAAGAGCATTTGTGCTGTAGTTCGGCATATTTTATCTTCATTCATTTCAAAGTAAACTTCCTCTGGTAAGAAACAAAAAGAGTTTTGAGTTCTTGTTTTGAGTTCTTGGCTAATAAAATAAAAGAATATCCTCATATCTCCAGTCTATAATCTTCTACAGACCACATAACATGCTTCTCCTCTTTCAAGAGGAATAATAGCTTGGCTAAATGATCGGATCTTCCCTATTCTGAAGGACAAATAATTCAGCACTGCTCTGGCCATAGAGCACATTAACATTTGTGGATTGTTCCCCCACCCTAAGATAAAATATGTTCTTTTCCTCAGTATATCACTATTTCTTATCTTGTTTTCATTGGTATTTCTGAATGGCTGGTATTAACAGGGTTTGATCTCTGCGACTGCCCAATTTAACAAAACTTTCAATTCCCCAATCATACTTATTCATATGGGATGATGAAAGCTAAAAGGAGAATTTTTCATTCTCAGTGTCTTGGTTAAAATTCTCTGAACAAGCACAGGCATAAAAACTACCTTCCATCTTTGCAGTCCTACAGACTTTGCAATTCAAACTTGTTTCTTGCACAACCTGTCTAGAGATACTAAAAAAATATAATTTGATAATCTGTGTTGCTAGAAATACTCTTGTATGGCATTTAAAGTTGAGTCCAACCCCTGCTTCAGCCAAGGGTGAGATGAAAGGAGCTATGGGAAAGAATTCAGATGTGCATTAGATGCCACCCATGGCAGATGTGTGTCCTTTTGGACTAGCCCGCAGAGGATACAAGGGTCATCTCAAACAAATGAATAGAGCCCTGGATTTCCACKGGCTGAAAGTTTAGTTGCCTGAGCTCGTGCGCAATTCCCTTCAGAAGCSTGAACTTCAGCACCTCCTTTTCAGGTGGAATCTGGCCTTTCCAAGCAGCCTTTTCCCAACCTGCCATTACRATCTGAAATTCTAAATACACATGATTTGCCTGTATGTTCCAAAGGGCTATAAAATTTTGCAGGACAAACTAATTGATATAGCCAAATAATTAATTACATTAAAGAAATTCCATTCAAATTACACCCGAGATCTTCAAACCACATTTTTTAATTAAAGATCTCGGGTGTAATTTGAATGGAATTTCAACACTAGAAAACACTAGAACACTAGAAACACTAGAACACTTGCAACACTAGAAAAAAATACGGATTAGAGGTACGTAAAGTGATTTTTTTTAGATGATTTTAATTAAAAAATGTGGTTTGAAGTCATCTAAAAAAATTTACGTATTTTTTTCTAGTGTTGCATTCTACAGTTTMATGGTATTTTCTTTAAGATACTTTCTCTATTTTTTTTTTTTACTGATGTTTACCTCAGTGTTATGTCCCTTTTTGTACTGGCATTGTATTGAATTCATTTGTTTGGGGCTTCCTAATAAAATCTTCATAAATAAAATCAGTTATTTGTGAACAACGTGCACATTTAAATACACATGCTTTTCTCAGCTTACCTCCATCAGTATATTTCCTTCCATAGCTTAGCAGAATATGCTCTATCATCTCTCTGAAAAAGATCAGAAATTAAAACTACTTGTCACCATCTCCTATATACAATAAAATAAATATACATCTCCTATATACAATAAAATATACACTGCAATTTAAAAATTGTCTGTGAAAACATTATTTGCTGCCTAATCTGTTTCACAGCACCTTTCCAAAAGAAGATAAAGGAAGAGGTATTATAATTTTTTTATATATATATATATATATATATATAAATAAATTTAAAAAAAAAATCACAGAATCACAGAATATTCAAGGTTGGAAGGGACCTCTAGAGATCATCTAGTCCAACCTTCCCGCTCCAGGAGGCACACCT